TCCAGAAAGACGATCACTTTAGACGAATCCAGGCACTCCCATGGAWATCCGCAGAATRMGACGTGGAAGTTTRRGGAAACCCTATAGCGCGGTCCTTGATTCCGGAGTCGCGGTCRTGGCCATCTCCTTCYGAGTAGTCGAACGGGCCGGCARGCGAAAAGAYGTGATCCCACTCGYGAAAGGCGATCACGTCGTCTCCGCTGACGAAGGCAAGATCCGAGTCATAGGGAGGATGGCGAATKKAGCCTTCCGCATCGGTAAGGTMAATGCCTTAGGCARCGTGGTRGTCCTAAATGTGAACACGTACGMCRTTCTTGTYGGTTTACCGGCCCTCACCACTTTGCGAGCCACGCTGGATTTCGAACGACGAGCCGTTATCCTCAACAACATAGGAGGAAAACCGTACACCATTCCGATGCGTCTCACTCTTAGGGCCGCCTCGATGGTCGAACGACAACGACGGGAACCCCCTCAGACCCTATACGAGGGAGCCGCCCCACTGCTACCACGATACCTAGGCAAACGGTCATTTTGTGATGTTACGGGCATACCTCCCTGATCGCTTCTCACCGTGGAAAAAGAAGTGAGATTACTACGCCTAGGAGCAGAGACACGGGCTTCGGAACCCCCTGGGTACCCTGAAGCCTCGCTGTTCGAGATGGGAATACGAATCGCAGAACGACTGATAGATTCCCGGGATGTCGAGGATGGGATAACCCCTGAAGAACACGTGGCCATCCGAGAGGAGGAAGCTCTACTTCTCTCTTCTTTTGGGCATATGACTAGGCCATTCGCCATGGAAACAATGCCTAGCCGCCCTGAGCCGTTTAATATCCAAAAATTAATATTTCTCTGACTTTGTTTTCAAAAAGGAAAGCAAATATGGGCTGGGGACTGAACCATTCGCCATGGAAACAATGTTCAGCTTGCCCAGACTATTTTCATTTATACTCCGAATTTTTCCCTTCTCTTCTTGATGATATGGCTTAACGCTGGACCATTCACAATGGAAACAATGCCCAGTCGCCAGTTCACATGCAAATATATATAAAGTATTTTCCCTTTATACTCGGTTTAACTTATGTGCGTGGTTTTTAGGCTGAACCATTTACCATGGAAACAATGCTTAGCCTTAGACCAGAAATCCTCCCTCAGAACAAACAAGAACTTAAACTCCTTCAATCAGGCAAACCCTTAGAGTTAACTAGAGCAGTCAGGCCATTCACCATAGAAACAATGCCTGGTTTCACAGAAAACAATTAAATAAAGACAGCAATCAGGCCATTCATCATGGAAACAATGCTCAGGCTTTGGTTGACCCTTCCAAACGCATGCAAGATTACCTTCCTCCCATCTTCCCCCAGTTTATCCCTTTGTCTGCTTTCAACCAAAATAAAAAAGAAACTTAGGCTTCACTCTCACACGTTCCTTCCATTCAGTCTGATTGGGTCCTGAAGAGAAAGTAAAAACCATAGGGACAACCTCATGCATACAACAATCATGCTGCAGGGGGATAAACAAACATGGGTGGTAGTAGGTTGTACAGATGGAAGTGGTTTACCTGACGATTCCCTGCCTCCAGAACTCCTCCTGAGTATCGGCAGGGCTCCTGCAATCGGTGTGTGGACTCCCCATAGAGTCTTGATGTGGACCTACGGGTTGCAATCCCGCCTGCCGCCTTCCTCTCAGAACAGGACCAGACTTAGAGTGAGAAGGGCAGGAGAAGACAGCTTTAGTCTCTCAGATCCAAGAGTGGTGCGCTCAGACTCGAGTGAGAGGGCCTTGTTATCTAGATGCGCCTGAGGGCCATGCAATGGTGGCCAAGGTGCGTCGTAGTCTGGTCAAACTGAAGCCAATCTTCAGTCGTTGGCTCCCTAATGACCTCTCAGTTCGTAGCAATACCTCCCCCTCAACAACCACAGCCTCTCCACAGCGCCTGCGACACTAAGTGCAAAGGCCACTGGTACACTCCCGAGCTTGTGACCTGCTATCGACTACTGCAGCCAGCTGGCCGAGCAAAGCATAAGTCATCAACTCTTCTTCAAGTCCTTAGCTTGCTCGCCGCCAGTCGACGAAGTGAAAGGCACCCTGACCATCAGGCAACTGGGCCTTACATCGGCCAGTAGGCCGCTTACTATCCCACCGTCCGCCCCTTACTACCTCGCACGCCAAGGTGTGGTGCACACCGGCTGAGTTGATAAGTCTTCCCAACCCGTGAAGCCGCTTTAACGGCCAAGTGGACGGCCGAGTGTGGGCTGGCCGTCGGATCCAACACAGTCCGCCACACCTGTGATAACCGAAGTTTGCCACAGACGGTCACAACCAGTAAACAAGGGTAAGTCCGACCTTCAACCCTCCCTCTCCCGTTTCTGTCTTCGACCCCAGACGATGGGCAAAGTAGCACGGCCGCCCACTGGCAAGCCTTCAAACTTGCGTAACTGCCCAGTTAGGCAGAAACGTACCCTCCGCATCCGTGCTGCCCGACGGACAACACATCCGCCCACAGGTAGGCCTCCATCCCGACAACTGTCTTAACTCCCCCTACCCTCTCTCCACAGTAGGACGAGCTGCTCAATAGCTGGCATGCTAGCCTGCACCTTCGCGGCTGATCCTTAACAACTTCGCACGGCGGCCGGCAACACATCAGGCTACAGGTGAGTCCCCCGCCCACTGCTCGTGGGTGCATTCAAGGGCCGAACGTAATCGCCAGCACCAGGTAAGTCCCCAACCCCGTAGCTGTCCTCAGACCCGCTCCATCATTAGGCTGAACAAACTCGGGATGAAGCTTCTAGCCAAGTCTAGGTACATTCGCCTCCCCCTCACTGCCCACCGACAGCATACACAGAATCGAATGAATCTACCCGTAGCATGCGGATAGATTCATTCCGTTTTCAACGGATTACTCCCTCAGGCGCAGTCCCTACCTATCGAATCCCAAAGCCTTCCCACTAATACTAAAAACTAACTCCGTATCCTAACTCGCAGCCATCAAGAACCTTCGTTCAACACTTCATTTCACTCGATTCCATAAAGAATCGAGTGAGGAATCTCTCTCCCACTTCTTCACCTCTGCCATTTCCACGCCCCACTTTTCCCAACTAACTCCAAGCTCACTAATTCTCTACTAACTCCAACATCGGATTTAGATCCGTTTTACCCAAAGACCCCGACGTAGCTCTTTACCCCACTCGATTCCACTGAGGATCGAGTAAGATCTACGCTTTCTCACCCCTTCCCATCCGTTCCTCCATGGCTCCTCGCGCAGTCTCTTTTCTCCTTATCTCTTCTCCTACTAACCTACCGCCGAAACTAACCCTACCATTAGCTCCGCCCGGGGTCAAAACCCCGGGATAACCTCCTCTCCCCCTTGATTCCGCTCATGATCGAGGGCGCCACGTTTCTTCTGCTGCGCCCAACTCTCCCTTCCGCCATAGCTCGCGCACCTCCATTCTCTCGTACCCCTCTACCCAGCACTCTAACGCCTAAACTAACCTCACCAACGGACTCGCCCGGTCCACAAACCCCCGAGTAGGCTCTTCCCCCGCCCGATTTCACCAAGGAACGGGCGGGCTTCCCCATCTCCTCCCCGCCATGTCCACATGCACCTGGCGCGTTTCCGCGCCCGGGTTCGTCCGCCCGTTTTTGGCACTTTGCTCCGTTTTACTCCCTCCGCTCGCGATGTTCCCCCTCTGCCTTGCCGGCTCACTACCTCTGCGCACCACCTCGTCTCACCGTGTTCGTCACCCACGGCTACGTAGCGTTGCTGCCCTCTGCGCGTGCATCCGGCGCATATTTGCGCCCAAAATTCGCCCCCCCCCCTCTGCTCACCTGTTCTCCGCCGCTCGACGTCTCTCCCTCCTTCCTGGCGGCGCTCGGTCCCATCCGCCTCCTCGATGCCAACGCAGGCTCCGACAGCGACCAGCGCAGCCCGGTGTGACCGATTCCTCTGGCTATTCTGAGGGAGACCTTCGCCCCTATACCCAAGTCCGACAGAATCACGCACCGGGCAGCGCTTCTATCCTCCCACAGTGCTTTGTTCCGCCCCATTCTGCGCGATGCTGCTGTTTTCCCCGTTGTCCGACCCTGTGGCCCGTCAGTACCAAACTAAGCGGCCCGCCCGCTGCGTCCAGCCTCCGGTGTGCTCCGTCCCTGCCCTCTCGTAGCGCCTGGTAGGTGCAGTGGCCCAGCCTGATAGCTCACCAGTCCCAGTCTCTCCGCCCCTCCGGCCTGCCACACCTGCGGCTTTGCAACAGACTAGTCTCATCTTAGTTTCTCTCGACAACCCGCAGGGTCGTTGATGTGGGCCAACTGCAAGCCTAGGCGTTGCCTGGCTGAGAATGGGTCCGGTGCCGATCTCGGCAATGAGAACTTTGCAAGTCGTCGTGGGGGAAGGGTTCCATGGGACAGGTCGCTCCGCACAGCCCTGTGGCCCCTACCACCGTGTCGTGACCTACTCCTGTTCAACCCTCCCACAGCCGTTCGCGGGGGACGGACGGTGCCCCTGCGGAGGGTCCATATCTATTAGTCAGTTTCTCTTCCGCCTCGGGGCTAATCACCCACTAGTTCGCATGCACGTTCAACTCCTCGGTCCGTGTTGCAGCGCAGGTGGGATAGCGGAATTTTATTGGCATCCTAGACACACAGGAGCACCCAAACGGCCCCGCAAATAGATGCGAGTGGTCAAAGTCCGCAACTACCGTGACGACCACTCGTACCTGGCAATACCATACCGGAGCCAGACGAGTTGGCCCCGACGTCTATCTCGGAACTGATCAGCCAATCAAAGGCACTTAGAAAATTTTTAGAAGTAGAAGGAAATAATAAGAATACGGGCCAATGAACGAGACGGAGGACAGCACGTCCCGCCGGCCTGTGACGCCGCGCCCACTCAGGCTACGCATGGCTGCGCCTCGCCAACAATACCCTGCGTGCTCACCCTGACGATGACCTAGGGCCCCTCTCGCGTGCACCCCACCGAGCGGGCGAAACTGCACTTGCGTGATTTGCAAAAAGCACGCCAAATACCCTTGTAAGGGTATTTGGTTTGACAACGCCCATCAACTGACCCGCCTATATGTCCTCCAGACCCAGAGGCATGTCCTTGGTCTCAAGCAAAGCATCCTCGGTCCTCTGCCCTTCGTGAAGAGGCAGGTCGGGCACCAGACGCGGGTCGTCTGGTGCGGGGACCCCGGTCTCGTGCAACCCCTGCGCCTCTCTCGACATCCCAGCTGCCTCGCCTCCACCCGTCTCGCCTCCACCTGCCTCGCGTCCAGCTGCCTCCCCCAGCATCCCTGGTGAAGTCGCCTCGCATGCGGCTGCCTCCCCCTGTATCCCTGCTGAAGTCGCCTCGCCTGCAGCTGCCTCCCCCTGCATCCCTGCGAAAGCTGCCTCACGTCCAGCTACCTCCACCTGCGTCCCATCACGAACCTCTGTCACCGGATCGATGTGGGCAGCCGCCTGTTCATCGGGGGGCATCTCCATAAGCGTCCCCGACTGTCTCTGTCGCTCCTCCGCTGCTAGACGAGCCAACTCCTGCATCCTGGGGTCGGCTCGTGCCAGGAGGCAACCTTTGCGACTATCAAGCCTGTCCAGCCCCTTTGCAGATGTTTCTCCAGGGGATGTGAGGTCCTCATCTACCTCTGCCTCCGCTGGCAACACTCCTAACTCTCTGCGCATGGCAGGGGTGAAGGTCTCTGGCTGCATGACGCTGATCTCGTCTTACCGGCGACTCGAATATGGCCTGCACGCCGACACTCAAGTGACTCAAGTCCCCCCGACAATCGCTCTCTCCGGGGGGCGGTCCAATATCAGTAAACTGTCTAAACCCTCTGCTATCACCCATCAATATCCTGTCATCACGACCTCTCCCAAGACCGTCTGTCTGAACCGCCTCCTGAACTAGACTACGTCCATCTCCTACCAATGGAGCACTACGTCCACCAGTGGGTCTCTCCACATCTCTCTCGACCCTCTCACCCGGTGAAGGACCGCCCGACAATCTCTCGTCTAATCGCTGTCTCGGGCCCTTCACCAATCTATGCAGTCGCCCTCTGGGGGGCGAACCTCTGATATGCCCAGGAACGCCGCCACCCATCGCTGACTCTGGCCCCCTCGAACGCGCAGATCCGTGCACCACTTGTGTATCGATGGACTAGGGCCCCGGAGACGAAGGTCGCTCTTGCTCAAAAGGGCTCCCGTCACCTCCACCAAAAAGGTCGCCCCCGCCGCTACGTCTACGGACGTCCTCCAGGTCGCTCCACTCATCAGCCTCTTATGAGGCCAGATGGTCAGCAGGTCCTGCCCCCTTGTCGTCCCCCTCAGGGCCCTCGTCATCACTGTCATCATCACTGGGGTAGGGGCGCAACGTGGCAACTCGAGTCCCAAGAACCTCTCCAACCTCTCCCCGAGGAGCTCTCGACCCACACAGGTCTCGCGTCCACACACGTCTCTGCCTCTCCCGGTCCTCCTGTGTCCTGCCGGCGTCCGTCCCCTGCCAGGACGGCTGCGTCCCTATGCCTCCCTCCACATCCAACATCGACTCATCGATCGTCCATGGCAAYGCAAAACCGCAGCCAGCCCRCTGGTGAGAGAGAAGGCGRACGTTGGCCGAGATCTCGACCAACTTCGCAACCTTCTCGAACTCAAGCTTGTTGTGCTTCTTCGTGCACACAGCCTCGTGGACGGCCCACTTCCTCTCTGCGGGAGAGGAACATGTCCACATGTACATGACACGAAGAGCGATGACCTGCAGCTGCGGGGCGCACTGTCCCCAATTCGACCACCAACAACCGGCCTTGTACTTCTCCACATCGCCGGTACACCTCTGTGTCTCCCTGTCTCCATCCCTCCCCCCCCTGGCAATCGCCCCTCTCCATGTGTGGAAGTCACGCAGTTGGGCACATCCAATCGGGGCTCGCCTCACTAAACCCAGTCTGTGTGAGGATGTACGTCTCAGCCTCCCGCACAAGTCTCACATCGTAATCGCCGACGATGCCCTCGTAGTACCTCAAGTCCCGGCGACTGGGACACAGAAGGTGAGCAGCGGCGTGCACTGGCTCCAACATGTGAGCGCACCGAGCCTGCACTTTCTGCATAATGAAGTGCGCAACACGTGGTGGAAATGCGCGGACCTTGCATGCTACATCACGGGTCACGTCCGGCGTCCACTGCATAACCAGCGACATGTGCAGCCCTCCCCGGCCCAACTTGCGAAGCATGTCATGCACGGCCTCCATAATGCGGACAAGGACTCCCATGGAATCCCACCAAGAACCATGCCGCACCCGCCACCTAACCCACCGAGCCAGCTGAGCTACGGAACTGTCCCAAGGGACCAAACCCCAATCGTCGTCATCCACCGTCCTCTCCACTACTGACCTCACTGCCAGCAGACACTCCATTATAGCGAACACGGATGCGAATCGTGTTTCGCAGGGATAAATAAGTCCCATGTGCGTGCTCTCCCCCCTGAAGATATGCAGAGCGGCGCTGTGCTCCTTATTGAAGCGCACCACCGCTCTCCCACGCACAATGATGTCCTTTGACCACGGGCTTGACAAGCCAATGTCAGACAACATTTTGTTGCAGACATGCACTGCGCATGGCAGCCACGTGATTTGTTGAATCTCTGACCTCTGATGGGGCCCCTGGAGCATATTTGTCGCGGCGACGTCCTGGCCCCCATCTCACTCCGGTGAGGAAGTCGCACTGGGCGTGAGGTTGGGCGTCACACCCCATCAACAAACATATTTTGGTGACCTTCCAACTGACACCTACCTTCAAGCAAGAAATCTGGTAACCCAGATATTTGCTGTATCTATACAATGGACACTATCTTTATTCGAAGGTCCCGGTGGCCATTGCCAATTCCTAGGGTCCACCGACTAGTTATGCGATGGTGTAGCTAGAGAAAAGGGGCGAATGGAGTCTGGATATTCCAAGACGCACACAGGCAACAAATTCGTCAAAGGCGGAAGCGAGGTCTCCGCCTGGATCAGCGGCGGGCCTTGCGACGTAGTCCCAGTCAACGGGGATGTCTCCCAACACAAAACCTGCGCATTTAGCTGATCTGCAACTGATTCTATCTGCCACAAAAGCAAGGGAGCATAATCTTGTGTTCTCTTTAACCATCCACCTTGTGAGAAAGCAATCCCAGATCAGAGGGTGGACAACCACTCCGGAGGTATTGCTTGGTGGACGGGGTGGAGATGGAGCGTGTGATGCCAAAGGTCCATCAACGATGAGGCCAAGCCAGTGAGAGGTTTTCAGTCCCTTCGGTCCACGTCCTAAATGTCAAGCACCGTTCCAATCCCTCTGCTCATCCAAGAATTGCCAAAAGCCCCTCCCTTGAAACAGGGAAGGGGTGATCCTTCGAGGTGAGAATAAACGGTTTATCAAAGAGTGGTTTTGTCAGTATTTGGTCTGTCAGCATGGGTGGAGGGAGCAGTTGAGGACAGCAGCGTCGCCACTCCCACAAAATGCCTGCCCATATGCGGCATGGAACCCACTTACGAAGGTACCCATGATGGAGGGTTGCTATCCAAATACAACAAGGTGTCCGCCAGTCCCAACCATCAAGAAGAGCAAATTCAGCCAATTGTCTCCACGGGGAGAAGACCCTGCTAAAAGCGCCCATGGTACCCATTGGGACAACAACGCTCCAATTTGGTACGGCGGGTCGAGAATGGAAAGGCCTCCCTCTCTCTTATGTTGTGTAACTACCTCCCAGGCCACCTTGGGGAGGTAGGATGCTTCAAACATCTATTCTTTCCACACGTAATGGGCCTTTCTCGGCCTTTTGGTTGAGATCCAAGTTGTATCTGTTCGGATCATTTGACGCTCATTACATATAGACAGTTGCAGTTTTTATAGTAACAAGTGGACCAGCCGCAGCCATGCTGCGGCAGAGGAGAGGGACGAACAGGTGGGCGGGGCTGTTGTTGATACACAGGCCGGGTTTTTTTATTATTATTATTGTTTTTGAGGTTGTGTGTGTGTGTGTGTGTGAGAGACTCTCTCTCTCTCTCTCTCTCTCTCTCTCTCTCTCTCTCTCTCTCTCTCTCTCTCTCTCTCTCTCTCTCCCCCCC